CCTGGGAAAAGGTAGAGATTAGGGCTTCTGAGGACAAAGGTAGAGATCAGGGCTTCTGAGGACAAAGGTAGAGATCAGGGCTTCTGAGGACAAAGGTAGAGATCAGGGCTTCCTGGGAAAAGGTAGAGATCAGGGCTTCCTGGGACAAAGGTAGAGATCAGGGCTTCCTGGGACAAAGGTAGAGCACCCCAATTCCCAGAGATCAGTAAGAAAGAAAGGACTCTCCCAGGAGCTCACTGTTTGGTGAGACAATGTGCCACGCAGCTTCAAGGATTTAGATCATGGGGTTGTTATAGCTGGAGAAGGTGTAAGAAGGAGAGAAGAGGGATGCAGAAAAGCAGCCTTACTGCTGTGAATCGGTACCAACTCAGTGGCAGTGAGTTTGATTTTTTGTTTTTTATTAACAAGACCCCTAAGAGTCCTATCTCATCTTTCGAGTGGCTTTGGACAATTTGATCGCATGTAGATAGATCTTAAAGGAGCGCAATGCTCAAGGCAGATATTCTTGTAGAAGGGTGAGTTCAGAATCAATAGTGGGAGCTCACTAGCTTGCTTGCTCGCAGACTCTGCTATGGAAGAGCCTGGCTGGCACTGTGCATGTTAGAGGCAACCCCCTGGAAAGGATTGTTTTCCCTCACAAATCTCCCATTTCAATGGTTGAAGTGGTCTAGCCTCCTGCTTAGGAGCACAGGCTCTGGAGTAAGACTACCTGGGTTCAAAGCCCAACCCCATCACTTACCAGTTAAGGGACTTTGTCAAGTTACTTCACTTGATAGCGAGTTTTCTCATCTCTGAAGTGGGGATATTGTTTTAAAAGTTCCAGGGAACTTTGCACAGTGCCCAATAAGCACTCATACATGTTCAGTATTGTTGTCGTTTTTATAACTAACTGATCCCGAGTGTTCTTGTTTTGCCTTCGGAGTTGTCAGTGGTGCAAATTTGGACCACTTCGTCCAGGCTTGATCCCCTACTGGGAGTTTGCTTTTCGACACCAGGTCAGTGGAGTCAGAATCTATAGTTTAACAAGGTGATTCTTTTGAATGTGTAGATCCTCGGGGCATTGATATAAAATAATCACTTGGGTTTCTTGAAGAATCACCTAGGGAGCTTGTTCAATTGTAACCCTGGACTCAGTCATCTGAGATCGAAATGGGATTTCTCTGAAGTGGGCTGAAAGGGAATGAACTGGTTTGTAGCCCTGGTTGGAAGGGGCTTCTCTTCACTCGGCTTTCTTCAACTCCAGAACAGTGATGAGTAGTCCTTCTTCCCAGAATCAGCTGAGCCCCAGCATTCACCCATGGAGACCATTGCGATACCTGACAGGGAACCCAAGGCAGTTTGTAATCTCAAGATTGGATTTCATACCCAGCCTTCTTCTTGCCTTTTGTCACCTACTGGGCATCATCAAATACCTTGTCAATGAATTTGTCACTAGAAAATGCCCAAATACTCAAACTCACCAACTCACTGCCATCAAGTCAATGCTGCCTCATAGCGACCCTACAGGACAGGGTGGAACCGCCTCTGTGGTTTTCCTAGACTGTCACTCTTTATGGGAGTAGACAGAGCCTCATCGTTTTCCCGCTGAGCAGCTGGTGGTTTTGAACTGCTGAGCTTATGGTTAGCAGCCCAACACATAACCACTGTGCAATCAGGGATCCTCCCTAATATTAGGTAACCCCAAATAAGGTGGTTTCCAAGATCCCAAGGAGAGATATGGGGGGGAAAAAGGGTTCTGATCCACTTGATCATGAAAACATTTAGTGATCGCATGTCTATATTTAACCTATGTAGAGAAACTTAAAGTCACATAGTTTTAACGATCATATCCTTAACTTAGAGGTAAGTAATGATTTGTTCATTCCCATTTTATGGAGTAGTTTGGTGCAAACTCCTGCCCATCTTCATGCAGGCGTGTGTCCTCATACAGCCGCTTTAATAGTTTGCATGTTAACTGTCACTCAAGGTAGCTTGAGAGACAGCCTTATGGGAATCTGGTTTTGATGATATCACTAGAAAGTACATCATTTTCATAATGGCAGGGTTGTCGGAAAGATGATTCTTAAGTGCGTTGTGATCTTTTTGAAAGGCTACTTTCTGACAGCTTTCAGCACTCATCATTGTGAGATCCCGGGTTAAGTGTGGCCTCTCTCTTACTGATGAGGATCCCAACGCCCATTGCCTGGGGTCATTTCAGATTAAGGTGTCTTCTCAAAGCAATACTTTTCTTTAAAAGTACCTATTTATTTATTTAAAATAAGGCCATTGCAATACTGGCCTTCTCTCTGAAAGGGTGAGAGCATTATGGAGACCTGAGT